ATGGGATGGTATAAAATGTTTGAAATGTTTAAAACTGGCAAGATTTTCATATAACTTAGAAAGATGGTACTTCTACGTTCGGAATAGAGACGCAGAGTCATCATCAACCTATTCTTGTGAAATTATTGGGGATAATTTGATACGAATTTTAAACACGTAGCTAAAAAAAGCATCTATTTGCCTGTCCCAGGAAATTATATACAAGGTCTTCTATTTTCAGTCTATATATGAGGAATCGTCATGAGTTAGCAAGTTTTGCATCTGCTGCCAGCATGTTGCAACCCCTCCTCCCTTATCTGAGTTTAGGACTGGCAATATTAGCAAGCTCACACAGACGAAGTTAGTATGTTGATTTTGAACGTATTGCTTTCCAAGTATGATTTTGACCTTTATTATTATTCACTTATATATATAACTTATTTTCACTTTTATTTCCTTTTTCGAATGATGCTGACATGAGTTAGATTTTAAATGAGGAGATATGGTCACTGAGGTCTGAGGATTCATATAGCCAACCCTGATTAGTTTGGACTTAGGGGTTGTTTGTTGTTGTCATACAGTTCCAACACACCCTCACACTCCAAAATCTCAATTGTTATCTGTCATTGCTTCTCTCCTTTTAACAAAAAAAGCAATTTTATAGAGACAAGTGAAAACACTTGGATTAGATCTGATGAAAATGAAATGTTAAAAGACAATGACTATTAAATATGAAGAAAAAAATTTGTTCAAAATAAAGTTGTCTAACATTTGATATCTCACTGCAGGTTGATGTTGAAGGTGTTGAAGTTAAACCAGTCTCTGTTGGTACCTCTCGCGGCCTACGTGTAGGTCAAAGTTGTTTTGCCATTGGAAATCCCTATGGATTTGAAAACACTCTCACAACTGGGGTAGTACATTTCTACAGTTTATTTATAAGTTAAGAAATATACCCGTGTGGAGACTCATTTTATGGTTTCATTTCCAGGAAAAAGTGTTTTTAGCGTTTATTTTTCATGCATTTCTGTTCAACTTACTCAGTATATAACTTGTAAATCTTCATTTCCTTTGGAGTATGCTTAATGTTTTCATTTCTATTGAACGGGAGCTCTCTCCTTTTACTGTATATAGTTTTTAATTCGAAATAAACCAAAAAAAATATTTTATTCAGCTCATACTCTGAATATCCTAAAAATGCTTTAAACTATGGACTCTCCACAATTCAGTCATACCTATGCCAAAGGGAACCAAAATCATGAAACTACTGAAGTTTATAAATTAATTTGCTCATGTTTCTCCATGCCATAGAGAAAGGGGAAAAAACAATTATTCATAGGGAATAAAGATGGTTAATAAGTTACCAGTGTTTATTTGATAACCTCAAATGTTACAGGTAGTTAGTGGATTAGGCAGGGAAATACCTGCACCAAATGGAGCTGCCATTAAAGGCGCTATTCAAACAGATGCTGCTATTAATGCAGGTAAACATTATTCTTTAGTTTTCCTGTATAAGATATTAGCACTTGTGAGAAGATTTTGGCTAATAGCACAAGTAGGGGTGTCAAAAGGGCCGGGTTGATAAATTGGTAGCCAAAAAGTTACTAGGGCATACCCCAAACAGCTCGATTCTTACTAAGTTTTTGTTTCATTGCTTGTTCTTTTATAGTCCCCCGTTTCACAAAGAATGACCTAATTTTACTTGGCACAGAGTTTTAAGAAAATAAAGAAGACTTGGAATCTTGTGGTCCAAAATTAATATTATGTCAAATGTACAAAATTTCCATTTCATCTTTTTGCTTTAAACATGCCACGTGGAAAACTAAAATTAAAATGTTAGCAAAAAAAGAAAGAGGTCTTTCTTTTTTAAACAGACTAAAAAGTAAAGGAGGTAATTCTTTTTTAAAAAGAGTGTAATTTTTTAGTACATAGTAAAACTTATCTTTTTTTAAAAAAAAATTATGGCTCTATATAACTAAATATAAAGATTGTTTTTCGAAAATATTTTGACAAGATTTCTCAAGGGTCAATTTAGGCTACTAATCAAGCAGAACTTTTTGATTAGTTGAAATGAGTTGAGTTAATAAATGATTAGCCCAAACTTGGATGGGTTGAGCGGGTCATGTTTTCATGGGCTAATTTTGTCACCCTAAGCACAACGGTCACCTCTTCATGATGTACTGTTTGAGTAAGATGTAACACATTGTTTACATGAGGATGCCGACAGGGTTGAATGCCAGTTTGATTAAGGGGATGCAGTTACTTTCTAACTGCTGAAATTGTCAAAGTAGAATACCTTTACCTGATTAGAACTCATAATTCATCAAATTATGCATGTTTAAGATTTAGCTTGACATATAGTTACTTATGCAGGGAATTCAGGTGGTCCGTTGATTGACTCATCTGGCCATGTCATTGGTCTAAATACAGCAACATTCACCCGCAGAGGTAAAAATGGTTGCTTGATATTCTTGTTTTTTCTCTTTCTTATTGGTGATCCCTTGTTTTAGGCCTTCCCTTTCAGTTACTTTTTTACTTGAATATTTCTTGGATTAGATTAGCCTAAGGCTGGCAGGTCCGCATCTGCTGGTTCATCGCTTGCTGACATTATTAAAAGCCTGTTGTTTCTTGTCTTTACACATCTTCTGCTCTAGGTTGATTTGGATAGAAGTAAAAGCATTGGTGTTCATCATATTCTCATTTTTCAAAATTTTAACTGTTTAAATTCACCATCACATGGAATCATCAAGCATCATACCTGTATACTAAGCCAACGTATTAGGTAACTGTTGAATTTTTGTTGCCTGGCGGTAGGATCTAGTTCAGTCCTCCCCCTTGGGAAAATATATTTGCTTTTCCCTCTACCCTAATACTGCAGAATATATTTGCACAATCTTTTAACCATTGATGTCAAACTTCGTACGCAATTAACATAACTTGTTATTATTTGGCATTAACATTTTACCCATCTAAAAGCATGTCAGGACTTGTACTTTTCATAACAAGGTGTAAAAGATGTGCATTTTATCGTTAATCCCTCAGAAGTTATTCCTTCTAAGAGTTTTTCAAGAATGGAGCTGAATTAGCAAAGATTAGTAGAAACTTCAAAACTTACTAATCCTAGTGACTGCTCGTGGGAATTTCACTCATCTGGCTGTATCCGTAGTAACATGATCAAAGTCATAGTCGTAGTTTGGTAAAAATTTGAATTTATTTATTGAGATCACATTTGATCCAGAAATGTGGTATATCAGGTTTGGTTTCTAGAGTTACAAAATTGGATTAGCTTAAGATTCTAATCCAAGCCTAATCACTAGGTTAAGAGCCGATTCATATTACAAAAGCTGTAGTTCACCATCCCTAATGGCGTATGATGAAGTATGTAGAAGCCTACTTAGCTCATAATTCTAGAATGATCACCATATTTAACATTGAATCTTAATTACCCTACAGGTTACACCATTTTGTGATGTTACTGAAGGACCTTTAGTCTACGTTGCCCAAGTTCTCCCAAAATATTGTCACACCCGTGTCGGTTCCTCCAATAATCCACTACTTTTGGAGGATCTAACACGCACCTGGCAGCATTCTTGAAGAATCCGAGCAACATAACCTTAAGTTGTGTCCTGCAAAATCTTGTGATCTGAATGAAATTAAAGCTCACACTTATTTGATGTTGTAGAGTTGGACAGGTGAATCTGTAAAAAAAAAAACTGTTTGACCATCTTATAGTCATTTCGGTTACTTCATCTTTAATGAGCATCTACTTTTCTTGCTGCTTCATAGGAGTTTAATACTCTCTGGTGACCTAGTCTTCATATATACACACACACACAGAAACTTAGTGATCAGAAAAGGATGAAATCTGAGGGAATTTCTAATTGCTTTTGACATTTCATTCATGTTACAGGCTCGGGTATGTCTTCCGGGGTTAACTTTGCCATACCAATTGACACGGTTGTACGGACCATACCATACCTGATCGTCTATGGAACAAGTTACAAAGACAGATATTGAATATCTGTAATCAGAAAGTTACTTCTGTAATCAGAAAGTTACTTGAAGGAAGTCAGGCAAAAGCATAAGGAAGGAAGCTCACTCATTGAGCTATAGCTTTTAGGGCTTGTGATACATATTTTATCATGTTGACAAATTCTTGTCTATAAATATTCCATGATCCAATATTAACAATCTTTGATCTCTTTGAGTGTTACCTTTGATCCTTAATGCAGTTTTAGCTTGTTAATTGTATGGTATTATCTTGACAAAAAAGGCTTCATTTTAGAGCTGGAAAAAGACCATGTTATTAACTGCTACTTTTGTAGCTTTCACAATTCATTTTCTTATGTGGAAAAAGAAAAACATGAACAAAACACTGTATTCAATATCATGTTTTATGTGAAGAGAAAACCAACAGAACATTGTGCAACTTATGCTAAATGCTATGGGAAGATTATTTTCTTCCATTTAACCAAACAATGTATAAAGTCATGCTAGTTCAAATACATGGGTAACTCCATCCACCAACAAAACTACCCCTTATTCACCTAAAAATAACCTCTTATCAAAGGTCAAAATTAACTGTACATAGATCAGTGAAGTAATAAGTTGTCATATGCATCATGACACTCCTGGCTGACTGGTCACCAATTTGTTTCACTTACACTAGTCATCAAAAACATATTCTCTCTTCTAACTGAGATATCCTCAAGGACTAATGGTGCATGTTCTGAAACTCGGTGGATAATGGACTTGTCCTACGATCCTTCTCCACTTAAACATCAACAGTCCCCCTAACAAGATTCAAACTTGTGAAGTGTACTTGATCCACATCACACTTACACATCAACAGTCCCCCCTAACAAGATTCAAACTTGTGAAGTGTACTTGATCCACATCACGTGTTCCGTTCTTACTACTAGAAAGCCCCGGCCTAGCCGTCAAAATTGGAACTTTATAATGGATCAGCGGCAGGGGCATCATGATAGGAGTAAACCATCGATAAGGAACACTAGAGAGAGGGATGCAACAGAAAATAACAAGTTTATCGATGACAGGCTCATCAGCTTCTTCCTAAAAGAGAAAAAACATATGATAATATAACACCAGTAAAGTACACACTTGAAAATGAAATAATCAATTGTCACGATAAATCAAACAGGGAAGATGTTCATCCAATTGGATCAAGTTTATCGCCACGAATAATTATGACTTTTGCTCCCCAAGCGACATTAGTGACAACTGTTCGTCAATAGAACAATCCACATGACATGTTTTCCGACATGAAGAAGGGATTAAAATGAGACCAAGAACTCGCTGTTCCATTGGAGAAGGGGCAGATCTTCTAGTGCTACGGTACTCGACTGCATCTTGAAGAATTATGTTTCCTTGCTTATCTATACAATAAAATGTACCTAGAAAGAACCTTCCATCACTTATACCAACCAGCATTCGTCGATATAGTAACTTCTTGACATGAGAGACATATTTTGAACTGTTTGTCTCGAACTGATTTGAGCTTCCAACATCAGATAGGTATGTCTCTAGTTCCTTGGTGCTCATTTTTAGTCCAGTTTAGATCAATGAAGGAATTTTCCGTACAATTCTGTGATTGTAGCTACAGCATATGCTAAGAGACAAACAACTAAACCATAAACTCCTCTTCCCTGCAGAAAGTAAAGACAGGGAAATAATCAGGTAAATTTTGATAACCGTGGTGTCCAGACCGCTCTTGGGCAATATATGATACATTAAAGGGCAAGCATTCAAAGCAAACTCTAAAACAGAAGATCTTTCGTTAATTTCTCCTCCCCTCTGCTCTGCCCGCAGTAAAATAGAACAAGCGATAGCAGTCGAGAAATGAATCTGTATATATAAAAAATCAAGAAAATTGTGATATCTTGGGTGTAGGTGTGAACAAGAAAAAGAAGAGTCTTCTTAGTCTTTGAACAAGGATATTATAATAAAAAACACCGTAAGAGACTCAGTTCCACACCATATAGGAATTGGCATACTCTTGGGCAGAACATAGAGATCCAACATGTTGAATACAACAATCACTATAAAGTCACAATTTAGACACGTTACAATATACTCAGTGTATACAGAAACACTCTTTCTACCTCCGAGAGGTAGGGTAACATTTGCATATACTCTACACGCCACGACCCGGGTAAGGTACACTCTACCCTCGCGACCCTATACGACACCCCTCACCAACCCTCTAAAATGCAAATAACGATGAGAAATGTGGTCATTATGATGAAGAATAAAGCTATACTCAAATAAAAATCAGCCAGAAATTGAGATTTGTCTGTTAAAAGGATGGAATTGAATAAAGCGTCAAGATACTCACTTTTGGGGTTTATATAGCAGATATATCATAAAAACTAAACTCATCTTCTTCACAAACCATCTATTTTAACAATCCGACAATTAAATTCTTAAATAAACGCATTAGAGAAAACGATATATCTCAAAACCCTAACCCCATACCTCAATTATTAGCAAGAGCAGAATTTCATGGGTACCTTTTGAATAAATTTTGCAAAATTCTGGAGAAACTAAGCTCCAAAAAATATGTGCAACACTTGCTTCTACTTTGTTTCGGTATTTCGGCGCAAATCGTATTCCACTTCACAATGCGCTGTTATAACAATGCCTCTTTTTTTTTTCTCTCCGGCCTTTTTACTTACATTAGTTTCGTGTCCTTAATTTTTTTTAATGAGTATGTGAATCTAAATATAGATAACTTGCTTAACTCGTTCAAAATTTTAATGGTTGTGCTCAACATATTTAAATTGAGTTCAATATGAATTCATTCAAGCTTGATCTATTTTAAGAGATTTCCCAATTGAAACCAATTCAATTTTCAATTTCAACCCGTGTTAAAACTATTTACTAATATATGTTTCTATATTAAATGTATGAATTATTATCTATTTAACATGTTTAGGATTCATCTATCCATTTGATACTTTTTGTAAAAAAAATCTTAAGCGAAAATTTAAATTGTGATTATATATGTTAAAATTATATAAGATTAATCGACTCAAATTGGGCGGGTCAAAGACCCAACCCGTTTTTAGCCCATTTGAACCAAACTCATTTGAGTTCAAAGTAAACTTAGGTGGGTCAAGATCCAATCCGATTTCTATGTCAACCCATTTTAAAATTTTTAATTTCAACCCAACCCGCCCATTTGACACCCCTAATGATGAATAATAGAATGCAACAATTATAAATTAATTTTTACAAATATTTGATAAGAAACATCAAAGTGAGTGGCATATTTTAATGTTTAAATAATTTATTTTACAGAATTAACGGTAAAATAAACTTTGGATAGTAGTAGCTTAGTTTCAATCAAACCATAAATGGCTAATTTGACTCCAAATAAAAATTCTGACTTACTATAGTTAGATATGAAAAAAATAGCTAACTAGTCGATAAAAAATGAATATTTATTAAAAATATATACAGTTTAAAATAATTGTTAAAAATGTCAATTTATTATTATATAGCAAATAAAGTGTATCTTGATATAATTTTTTTGCCTTTCTTTTGTTTCTCATCTTGGGCCACGTTTGGTTTAATTTGACTCCATTACCTACTTTTCTCCCTTACATTTTTTACCTAAATTCTCTCACTGCAAGTCATCTAACCCTTTCCTTCTTTAACCGGACACCATAGTATCTCTTTCGACATTCATCTTTTTTTGAAAAAAAAACCATCAATTATTCAAGGATTTTAAATTATTTATTTTAGATTTTTTTAATAATCTATAAAAAGATTTGTACAACAATCTCATTGATCCTGATATCATATTTTGGGTACGTATCTTTTGCGATTTTATCTTCATCAATTGTTCAAGGATTTTAAATTATTTAAAAAAAATATTTTTTAATAATCTCTAAAAGGATTTGTACAACAATCCCATTGATTCTGGTATCATATTTTGGGTATGTATCTTTTGCAATTTTATCTCCTTCTTAGTGATTTGATTTGTATTTTGAGTTTTTTAGTTGTATTCTTCTATTTAAATTGAATCATTTCTACATATTTTGTATTTGTTTGGATCTTTCTATATAATTGTGTTTAGTTGCTTAGTAATTCTCCATTTTCGATTTGAGTTCTAGCTAAGAATAACTTCAAAGATTTAACTATATTGTCTGAGTCAAAGAGGACTACAAGAGGTATCATATAATCATAATTTTTTTAGCGATTTTCCCTCTAATCTATGCATTACTCAAGGAGTCCTGAAAATGTAGGTTTCATGGTTAAAATAGCTGAAGAGAGCAGATCTAAGTAGATCAATCTCAAGTAACAAGTAAGTCACGCAAAAGCATCAAACTATCAAGTTACAATGATCAATCTCTCGCAGGAACCATTTTCCATCGGCACAATATCACTAGTCAAAACCATTTTTCATCGGCTTTATATCAACTCATTAGCCCGAATCATTTCCTATAAGCTTTATATTACTAGCCAGAACCATTTTCCGAATTGGCTTTATTGTCACGATTCAAGGATACTCACTAGACGTAACATGACATACTTGACCCCGAAAGGGTCTTATACAAGACCTTAGCATAATCATTAAATAAGATCATAGAAGAGTAGGGAAATTTTCAAATGTTTACAATCAAAGTCATTCTCATAAAGAAATCAAGCGGAAGTCTCTTTATAACATTTGTCTTAAACCATCTATTAAACTTCTCACTACAATTCACTGGGACGCAGCCCATACAAAGTCTAAAACATAAAGAAATTACATAAGGAAATAAAGGGTTCGTTCTAGAAGCTATGAGGACTCACCAATTCGTCAACTCTTTTAGCACCTAGCAATCTAGCGTCCAAAGCATATCAATCTCTGAAACCCTACATATGGTTAGAATGTAGGCAATATGTGTTAGTACAAGATGTACCACGTACAAGAGCTAGCATAACATCATAAGAACATTTCAAATGGTTATTCAACATAAGACATAAGCATAAGAGATAATAACATGATCATAGAATAATCTCCAGCATAAGCATCATATAATCACAAGTCAACATAAGACATAGTTAATGAACATAGTAAATAAGTCATAATCATAATAAGCCACTTCTTCATCATAATCATCATATAATAATAATTGAGTCTTTGTCATCTATACCACAATAGCACCATTCTCAACTAACCTCAAAAACATACAAGTGCGAAGCAAGAATAACATCTCATAATACCACCCAATCCAAGTATCCTTTTTTTTGTCATCTTAATCATGGTCTGTATACATGATCTAAGTCTTTATGTTTTTCTTCCATAAAAGTATCATACTCCTAGGTCACCTTAGGGCATACTTGTGCAATGCATGAAAGACATCTCATACTACCCTTCACACTAAGCATAACCTTGAAGTCATCCTAGTCATATTCACCCTCCCTTGGCCTCATTGTTAGCTTAACTCTCATAACTAAAGGAATATCTCACCTTAAGTCAACTATAGCAGGAAAGGAAACTATGTCACAATCCTATCTCAACTCATTCTATTTTGTGACCCTAAGTCATACTTGTACAATGCAATCATATCACCCCATAATACCATTTTGGGGTTTTATGACACCCGATTTCATGTTTAGATCGTATGGTCTATGTTCATTAAGGGGATTGTTCCCTCATGTAAAATGAAAGACAAGTAAATGGACGTTGACTAGGGTTACTTTAGGAGTCTACTTAGTAAAGATAGGGGTATGAGACTCTACCTAGACATTGCACAAGTTGACTCTAAAGGAAGTCGTAGGAGATTGTTGTTATGTAATATGATAACATGAATGATATATGTGTAAGATACATGATGTTACTCTTATATTATGTTGTTCATTATGAGTAATATGTTATTGGGTTATATTAATAAGTGAATTGATGACTACTTATGTTACAAGATATATATATAAAAAAGCCTTACTCATGGTCTCCTACCTTATCAACTTAGTTGTGTGGGGTTATGGGGCTTTACATGACCATTGCACTTGTAGGTTGGGGATGAGATCATTGGTAAGAGTTTTGTATATTATTTTTATATGATCTATTCAATATGAAATGTAACATGACTCTAGGATAATATGCCTTTGATTATGATCATGTTGTACTTTGATGAAATCATTAACTTGTATATGCTATATGGTATATGCATTGAAGACTTTTATATGACTTAGCATGATTTCTAAAGAGATGATAAACTTAGCATGATTTCTAAAGAGATGATAAATAATCCCTTTTCAAGCATGTCCTTATATGTTATGTGCATATACCCATACTTAGTATATGTGGCGTAATAACCCATTACTTTTTATTTCTACAATTGTAGGTTCTAGACATTTATGTTTAAAGGAGGTCGATTTTAATAAGCTTGGAACTCTTCTCCAAGTCTTGGAAGGTCCTCATTTCGGGGATGCTATATTTTCAATATTCTAGCTTAAGAAGAATTTTAGTAGTTTTAAGAATACGATAATTTAATTATGTTCTTTGATTATTTGTACTAAGGCCTATATGACATAATTATTATTTATTGGCTAAGTCCAGATTTGTACTCTTAGATGGTTTTATATATGTGAGATAAGTTTTTAGAATATCATATGTCATTATCAATGTTAAGTATGAAGTCTAAGTATACTTTTAATATAATTTAATAGTTTTAATTTTCTGTAATTTATACAGATTACATGTTATGACGAATGCTAAGGACTTGTCTAAGTCCTTTGAAAGGACGCCGACACCGGTCGCATCTGGGTATTCTCTCCGGGTGTGAGAAACTTGTATCAGAGAATGAGGTTAAATATCCTTAGGATTAATGTCTCACTAAACCATATTACGTAGTATCTTGTTCATGGTTGTGAAGCGCGCCACAATTATGGATGAGAGGTTATGTGATGACTAAGAAATTTCTCTTTTCTTGATACTCCTATGTTGTGCCTTCACAGTTTTGACACTGTGTCGTTTAGAATCTAATCCCTTTCTTGTGGTTATAGGTGATGAACACAAGAAGGACAACCTCAATAAGAGTAAGAGAAGATATTGCGATTGCGGGAGCTACTCCCCAAGGCAATAAAATTCCTCCTGAAGTGCAAGCTACTGCAAATAATCAAGTTCTGGTGAATCCTTCGGCTATGACGGATGGTGAGGTGATGGCAGCCCCGCTTCAAATGGCCCAATCCATCACCACCCAAGCTAAGATATTAGGACAAAAACTAACAGAGGGGTAGAACCTCGATAAAACCAACATGCTAGTACGATGGCTAGCCGATTGAGAGATTTTACGAGAATGAATCCACCCATGTTCTTTGGATCGAAAGTTGATGAAGTTCCCCAAGATTTCCTTGATGAGATCTACAAGATATTTTTTGTATGCGGGTGAGTACTACCGAGAAGGCTGATCTTGCTGCATATCAACTTAAGGACGTGGCACAGAGAAGGTACAATCAGTGCAAGGATAGTACGGCTTTAGGAGGTGGTCCCATGACTTGGGACATTTTCAAAAAAGCATTTATTGACAGATTCTTCCCACGGGAGTAAAATAAGCTAAGGTAAAGGAGTTCATTAACCTTTGTCAAGATTGTACGAGTGTTAAGGAATACTCATTGAAATCCATGAAGTTGTCAAATATGCTTCCTCTATGGTTTCGAATGATAGGGATGAGATGAGTCGTTT